CCCCCGTCTGAGAAGTAGGCACATGTGTGTCACAGTAGGAAGGCTTTACCTGTCTGTCATGTTGAGTTTAGAGATTACATCAGCCTGTAAAATAAAACACACAAACACACAGACACAAAAACAATCCCTGGAGAACAGCCAAGAAGATTAAAATGCCCATTAGTGCTTTATTACTAACTAGTAAGGACATTAATCTTCAGTCCCCAAACCATTTGAAAAGAACACTCCCACAGTTTAGTTTAAGCATGTATCCATCATCACAGGACCAAAGTAAGGAAGAGAATGCTACCTTGTTTAAGCCCAATGAACCACAGTCTTCTTCTCTCCAGTGGATTTCTATCTGACACTAGAGAAGCTGAGCAATGAGGGAGGCAGCCCAGCAGACGGATTTCTTCTGGAACCACTGAGGCCACCATAAAGGTGACTATCAGATGGAATGGGCTTTCGACTACAGCCATCAAAGGAAAATGGCAGGGCTGATACACGAAGAGAAACCTGCCAGTTACCCAGATAGATGCCTGAAGTTCAAAGTCAGTTTACAGAACTGGGGTCAGCAAACCTTCTGTAACTAGGGATATGACCTTCCTAGGTATGTTTAATTGAAATTATTACAAATTAATTTGAATTCTAAAGTACAGAACACCCCACTGATGACCGTGGGAAGTAGCTTAGCAATGGAGGAAATCTGAGCCAAACTAAAATCCACTTTCGTTGAGTCAACTCCAACTCATAGCGACCCTACAGGACAGAGTAGAACTGCCCCATAGGGCTTCCAAGGCAGTAAATCTTTACAGAAGCAGAATGCTGCATCCTTCTGCAGAGTGGCTGGTGGGTTCGAACTGCCAACCTTCTGGCTAGCAGCCCAGTACTTACCAGTCAGGGCGTGTAATTTTACAGGTGGACAGCCTAGAATTGAGTGCACAGACTTGAAAAATGTAAATTTTTATGGAAACACAGCATTCCACCTTGATTTGGCCTACCTGACAACCGACACACTGATGTTGTAACGGGAAGACCCTGACGATATCCATTCTACTGGCAGGCATTCCAACAGGTCATCTAGCATTGTTTGCAAGTAAGATCAAACAGTTTTGGACAACGGAAAAGATTCACTCAATTTCAGATACCAAAGTTCCTCCAGGACACTCAGGAACTATCTGAGCATGTCTTTACTGTGCCTCAGGAGCTCTGGTGGCGCTGTGGCTAAAACACTGGGCTGCTAACCAAAACGCCGCCTGCCGCTCCACAGGAGAAAAGATGAGGCAGTCTGCTTCTGTCAAGGCTTTCCAGACTTGGGAACTCTATAGGGGCAGTTCTACTCTGTCCTATGGAATCGGTTTGGTTACTCTGCCTTATGGAGTCTGGATTTCCTTCCGAGGGGGTATGTGACCCAAAAAGGAAACTCGGGGCCTGTGGGGGCGTCCCTACCCCCGCCTCCCTACTAGCTCAAACAATGTAAGATTTTTGAAGTGTTTCAAAGGTGTTTTTCTTACCTGACCCAGAAAATAAATTCCTCCACCTACTACAAAAGCGGAAATTGCTGTACCAAAAACAGCAAACAAGGTGATGGAACCAATATTTTGAAAGAAGTTACCCTGTTTGAAAGAGAGGAAATGAAAGGACTCATTAGAAAAGCCGGTTTTGTCAGTGAAGGCATGGCCCCCACCCGGCCCTCCTCACACGCCGATTCTCAGTGAAGGGGGCTCGGCGAACTGGAAACTGGGGAGTCATCCTGTGCCCCCACAAGTCACGCA